CCCACACCCACACCCATATCCCACACCCACACCCATACCCCACACCCACACCCATACCCCACACCCACACCCATACCCCACACCCACACCCATACCCCACACCCACACCCGCCACACACTCACACCCTAATTGATTTTAAAATGATTTCGTCCTATACACTATTAGAGAAAAAGACGTCCCCATATCTTCACTATCGATTGATGAAAACCAAAGCTTTGTAGCTCTTACCATTCTTAAGTCATTGCAAAAACAGTGGAGCGCACTATATTTTGAAGCGGACAAAAGTTTCTTTAAACATGCCCTTAATCTTCTTAGGAATCGATTTAGTTATAAAAGAGTTCGTTGGATTTCTTTCGAGGTTTGTTGCACTCGTTGAATTCCATTTCCATTTTGTTGTTTCATTTGGAATGTTTTCGCATTGACCGATTCTGATTCACGCTTTTGAGCCTCCTTTGATTGCCCACGTAACCTCTCTACATTTCGTGAAGATGTTTGAATATACGCGGACAGTATATTGTCACGAGTCGATGGCCGTCCGGAGATTGATTTTTCGATATCAGGTTGATATTTTGTCCTATTGTGGGCTAGTTCTTGACTGCTATACACTCTTCGTTCCCTTTCACCGCTGTTAGCAATTGGTTCGCCTACAAATCGTTGTTGTATTAATCTCCCAGTATAAACACTCACTGGTGGCTCTCGCTGCATACCTGTGTTGTTCTTCTTTGCTTCCTTCTGTTCTTGTTGTATAACTTTTTCTGAAACACGTTTATGTTTTTCGAGCATAGTTTTCATTTTGTCTAACTCAGTTTTGCTCTGATTCTGCATTTCATTTACAAAATTTTGAAGCTGGAGTTCTACCTTCTTTTGAAATTGTTCGAAATGACGTTCGTTCTGTGATTCTAATTTTTTCTGCATTTCTAGCATTTTTTCAGTCAATTTTTTCATTTCATCGTCATGTATTTTCTTATTTTCTTCCGTTAACGCCATTCGTAGTTTATTCGATTCATTTCCAATAAACTCACGGGCAGCATCCATCGATGTTTTATATAACGTTTCGTTTTTTTCAATTCCTTCCCGTAGAACGTCAACATGAATTTTGATTTCGGTTCGAGTGTTCTCAAGTTCGGTTTGAACATAATTCGAATCAACAAAGGTCTTTTGTGCATGAAGTGCTTTGGCTACTTCCAAAGCCGTTTCTGACATGATAGCCGGCTGAATGCCAATGTTTTGTGCTTGAATACTCTCCGTCATGCGTTTAATGTCCTCAACTTTTGTTAGAATATCGCCAGTGGCACTCCGATGTGCAGAAACTAGTCGTCTTCCTTTGATAATGGACTCACATATTTTCCTATCTTTTGTAAACGGTGCTAAATAAACATAGCCAAATATTGCCAAATCTGGATAGTTGTCTTTTTTAAAATCTTCAAATGGCACTGGATATTGATAAATGGTGCCTTCGTTAGTAACTACTGAGACGTATCCGATCAAATGCTGTAACTTTACTTGATACTGTCTCTTTTTGTGATCAACTATTCGCAGTGGTATCAGTTTGCGACCAGCCGAATACCCAACAATGTCAGTTGCAGTTGCGAATACCGATTCTCCGAATGAATCGTATTCGGCGGCACGATGCCATAGCTGTTCTGATAACGGAATATTTGAGACGATTCCCTTGTCTTTAGCTTTTTTAAGCGCATCAATGATCCATGCAGTCACATATTCAGCTACAATTATAATGGGTTTCTCTTTTTTACTTTCTGGACGGACATCAATCAAAACTTCTTTGATCCAGTGAACTTTGTCATTAAAAACATTGCTACCTTCTATTTTTCTTGATGTATCAATACATTCGATTTGCTGTTTGTAATAGAGTGTCATAAGCGCGGCTGTGTCTGACGCAGCACGTTGAAGCTCTTCGAAATTGCCTAAGGTCGAAATATTGTAAAATTCTTTTTTCTGTTCTCTTTCATTGAGTTTTTCTACGATTTGATTAGTCACAGCGTGGATGGGCTTCAAAAGGCTGCCAAAAGGAACTAAATGAAAGAAGTGTGTCATAAATGGTATGTTGTATGCACAGAAGAAATGAAAAGAAGCTGCACATGGCATAAATCATACAGTATTTTCTCCATTGCTTTACGTTTTTTTTCGAATATTTACGTTTCACAATTTCTACATAAATTCTGTGCTGAACCATAAGTGGAAAACACTTGTCTGATACCTTGTGATCAAGAGTATCTACAAACTGTTGTTTTTCCTTTTTAGCTTTATATGTACTCATTAAAAGAAAATTATAGCTTCGTTCCTTCGAAAGTTATGACTCCTGGTACTCTACAACCGCTCACCAACAGAAAAAAAACATTCATCTGTGTTGACGGAACTCTGAAATTTCGAATGATGAAGCATTAGTTGATGATACAACTTTTCAACATCGGGAACAAAAGACTACAATTTGAATCCGAAATTACACTGTGTATGTGCATTTCAAGACTAGCTACTGATAGATTTTAGAAATCCCTTGAAAAGCCTAGCGCAATCTTAACAGGATCAAAGTGTAAGACGCAATACTGTCATCTGATTCATGAAGTATAGTACTTGTCATATGAATCTTTGGGACACTCAGAAGCTCTATGAGCTCTTTATATTTGTCGATCAAGGCCTTCATAAAGGAAGAGCGAGGGCACAAGTCAACGAAAAAATTATTTTTTCCTGTTTTACTTTTACGTTTACATCTTTCGTAAATAGAATTGTGGGCCTTACGGCTGAGTCACTGCGGTCGCCAACACCATGGTAACGAAAATTTTGAGACTTGTTGAGCCACCACTGCTGAGAAACAGCAGATACAGCCATCGTGCCGCCGTTACTAACAGAAATTTTGAAAGTTTCACCCACTGTCATCGACTAGACGACGACAAGCTCAATTTTAGGTCAGAACTGATGAACTGTTCAAAACGCTCACTAACACGAACTGAACTATTCGAACAGTTTTTTTGAGCGAACTGAACTTTCTCAAACAGTTCGTTTCAAATGAACTGAACTGTTTTAACAGTTCTTTCGAACGAACCGAACTTTTTCAATCAGTTCTTTTCCAATGAGCTGAGCTGTTCGAACAGTTCTTTCGAATGAACTGAACTTTCTCAACAGTTCTTTTCAAAAGAACTGAACTGCTTGAATAGTTCTTCTGAAAGAACTGAACTGCTTGAATAGTTCTTCTGAAAGAACTGAACTGCTTGAATAGTTCTTCTGAAAGAACTGAACTTTGTGAACAGTTCTATTCCAATGAACTGAACTCTTTGCACAGTTCTTTTCAAGGAACTGAACCTTTTCAAAGAGTTCAGCTCCATCAACAGGTTATCATGAAAAGTTACATCCATAGATCCTCAAGTCCTACTATGTAGAGGTACCAATAGGCCCTCAACTTCTATTATATATGGTACCCTTCGTTCGCCAAGTCCAATTACAAGGAGATACCTTTAGTTCCTCAAGCAATGCTCTGGAGGAACCATTGCGTCATCAACAACTACTACAGAGGGTACCCTAGCGTTCTTGGATCCTGCTATACCACTAATTGCCGAGATAATACGGAAAAAGGCAATCAAAATTCTGCTTGATCAACAAGGGACCAATCAGATTGGGAGATTCTATTTGTAAGTGATAGAAACGACCAAGGCCCATACATATACCCCTCATTCGATAGAGCGTCCTTGATAACCCTAGGTTTGGCAGAAACATGACTAGTGGTTGTTCATTCAATAGGAAAGAAAAAGCCTCTTGAAATCTGATTGGTCGAAATTTGAATGAATAAGATTTCAGGAAGAGTTTCCGTTTGTGTTGTCGTGACAATCACAAGTGATGTTCGGGCGGATCTTAGAGTTTTGCAGGGCGCTCTATCGTATGTAATGTGTTTCTTTAGGGCTCCGAGCTGTATGCCATGGAGAAATAAAGTGCGCAAGCGGAGCAGTCTATTTTCTCACTAGTTAGGTTCCGGAAGATGTGTGCTTTCATCTCATACTGCCAGTGGTTGTTGAGGATCCAAGGATACCCCTGAATACAATGCTTGAGAACGAAAGTTACCCCCAATAATAGGAGTTGAGGACGCATGGGCCCCCCCCCCCCCCAAATAGTAGGACTTGACGACCTAAGGATACCCCTGTAAAGCCATCGACACATTAGAAGACCCCCCTATATTAGAAGACCCCCCATAATAGAAGACCCCTCTTGAATAAATGAAGCAAAAGACATATTAGAAGACCCCCCTGATAAAATCGATTTTTTTACGAATAATTTCTGAAGTTTATTAACTTTTTTAGTATATAAGTCCATAATTGTATCGTAGGTCAGTA